TTATAGTTGTATTATGGAATTTCCATAGATTTGATGATATAGTTATGATGCAATGATTTATAGGTTGGATCTTACAATATTGATTTTGACTGCCATATTGTAGTAATCTTCAACATTTTTGTAAACAAAAGCAATATATCCAGTGAGTCCCTGAATGGAATTTTACACTTACAGAATTCATGCTTTTGATATCTCTAGAAAAATTGCCATCATGCAGCAGGTGAAAGGACCTGAAATGAATTGTCTTATAAGGAAACTCACCTTACTGCTTATTCCTTTAGGCCTCTTTCTCTCCCCTCCCTTCCTGCTTCCTTCCTTCTCTGCCTCAGTCTCTTTTCTTCTTTCACCAGAAATAAGTACAGTGGGTGATAGAAAAGGGTGCAGAGATTCAGGGAAGACACAGGACTGTGGTTCTCATGGAGATTCAGTAGTCATAGAGTAAGGAAAGGAAAGACTGAATGAAATCCGAGTGGGGACTTATTTTCAGAGTGAGGCCACAGGGGTCAGAAATGTAGCTGGCGGTAGAAGTGATCCCAGATGTGGTCCCACCATGTGTGGCAGTCTGGTTTAGTGGAAAAGGAGAGAAAAAGAAGAGAAAAGGAGAGCTCACAGTTAGCGGAGTCTCCCCTGCATCTGTAATTAGCCACATGACCTGAGGCAAACTGAGTCTGAAAATGTCTATCTCATTAGCAAGCTTCAAATAACTTACACAATGAAGGTTATGATAAGCTGAGAACTCCAGGCATGCTGCCTGGTACGTGAGAAGGATTCGGCAAATTATCTTCATCATTATAAAAATAGCCCACAGAACAAGGAAAATTAATAATGGAGGATGAGTGAGAAACAGACTGGAAGCATGGACTGTTTTGTTCAGTAGCATCTCTTCTGTTTCTTGACATTTCATAGTGAGTTATTCTGTGCACCAGAGGGGGTTTCCCTTTCTGAGATTCTCTTTTGCATCTTGGCTCCTTTTTTTTTTTGTCTTGAAGAAATTGTGTTTAACATCAATTCAGGAGAAATTCAGTTCAACATTTGGTTACATTTATTTGCATTAATAAGTAAAAACTGAAAAACAGAATCAGTTCTTTGGTTAATATAAATAATTAGTAAAGGAAACTTTGAATCCCCCAAGGATGCTGGGCATGGTGGTACACACTTGTAACCCCAGTTCTTGAGATTCTCAGATGAAAGCGAGTGTGAGTCCAGACTGTGTCAAATAGTGGGTTCCAGGGCAGGCTGCAGTAGGTGTTAAACCATTTTACCAACATTTCCTTGCACTCAGACGTTCATTCCCTGAGTTCCTCAGCTCTATCAGGTATGGACTATGATGGGGAAGTTCTTACAATCCTGATATACAAAAAATTGTTTCTGTGCACATCTTTCTGATGAAGTCTATGAATTACATAAGATTATAAATAAATAGTTGGTCTCTGAAACTTAAATGTTGATTAGTCCTTTAGAGGATGTAGTGATGTCTACAGAATTCTTTCCAGCATCTTACTTTAAGTATGGTCATTAGGGAATATAAGTAGCAACATCAAGGACCACAGAAGTAAAGCCTAAACTTGGGCTTGCACAGTGAAAATGTGCATTTTCATTTTGATCTCTCAGTGACTCCTCCGCATGTTAAAACGTGAGAAGTCCTAGTTGTCAAGGAGTCTGGCTTTGCATACAGAATTTGCACTCTGCCTCTGCCAGCATCTAGTGTTAAGTTTGAATCTGTAATATTCCATGTTATGCACTATTGGTCTGATAACAAGGTTAATATCAGAATTCCAGACCCAAGTTTGAAATAATCATTTTCTGTTTAGCCTTATTATTAAACTTTTGTTGGTGAGGTTTTCCCCCCTTCCATTTTTCTTCATCTGTAAAGTAAAAAAAAGTAGGTTGCATTTCTGTGGGTTCCCAATTTTGGAGTTTATATTTTTTTGTTCTCCCATTTCAGAGATGGCTTTATGAGTATGCGCTGGCATGCAGTTTCTCTTGGGGGATTCTTAATGGTCAGATTAAAAAGTAATTATGTGTAGAGATGTGTATCTCAGGATAAGGTATGTACATATGCGTGCAGTTGTCCAAGTAGGTGGGAAGAGATTGTCAGATCCATAGATCTGGCTTTTTTTTTTTTTTTTTTGTGAGCCACTGGACATTAGTAATGAGAGCCAAACTCAGGTTTCCTGCAAGAGCAGTAGACACTATGAACTGTTAAGCCTCACACTTAGGTTACACTTAAATGTTCTTTTGCTAGTAACACATACGTGTCAATACACTCAACAAATTCCTTAGTTTGTTTTCTACTCCTTTAATACAAGTGAGTGTGTTTTGTCACCTCTCTCTTCAATAGAATGCTGTCATCAATAGGATGGTTGTGAAATGTCCTAAAGCACTGAATGTCTTTCTGTTACTCATCCATGTAAAATTCAGTGTAGCCATTTACTGTGGAATAAGACATTGTCTAATTATTTGATTTATATATCTTCTTTATTCTGCTCAGAGCTACAAGTCTAAGGTAGAATAAATCTAGTTTTTCCAGTATCTTCATCACAATACAGGTATTAGCAAATACCTGTAATTCTGAAGAGAGGATGACATCCTTTGAGAAATGATATCGGTAGTTGGCACTCTAAATCATCTCCATCTCATTAAACATAAATTGTTCATGTGAGGTATTTATTTGCTAGGGAGATAATATATACTAAATTAAGTTACTTCCATTGTCGAGATCAGCTCTTGAATGAATGGATGAATTCTAGTTGCTTTTAGAAATAATTGACTCAATAGAGTAGGCTAGGTAGAAAGGACTGTACCTAGCTGAGTTTCAGCTTCCTTGTCTTTAGCAGTTATTTGGAAATTTGTTTACATATTTTATATAAACACATATTCTGAATATCTTATAAGTAATAGAGATTTTTTATAGTTCTGAATGACATAAATTCAGAGATTACACTGTCGGTAGACACAGTGTCTAGAGGACACTTCTTGAATTATAGATACTATCTCCCAGCAGTGTCCTCTCATAATGAAAGGGACAAACAACCTCCTTCAGATCTCTTATTTAGGGCACCAACCTGAGTTCTGAGGTCATAATTCCCTAATCACCTCCCAAGAGGAACCCTTCCTATTATCATTACCTTAAAGAGTAGGATTCAGTGTATCAATCTGAGAGGCTACAGATACTTAACCATTGCAGTCCCTGCTAAGGATCATGAGGACTGAGTTTTCTCACTTTGGAAAATAGTTTCCTTACATTCCTTTTTTGGTGTGAGTGAGTATGTGGGGTCTCTGAGTGCACCACGGCATGAGTGTGGAGGACGGTGCACAGTGCATGCTAGTCTCTTCACTCTTTCCATCATGTGGGTTCTGGGCCTTGGACTCAGGTCCTCAGGTGGAGGCAAGCACCTTCACCTGCATTTAGCCATCTTGCCAGCCCTCACGCTCATTTCAACTTAGCTAAAGAGGAAGTACATTGTCTCAAGTATAGCCAGTAGCACAGTGTTGTGAGCTCACTTGAAGTGAGCCATAGAATGAAAATTCCTACAGTGATGAAGAATATAAGATGCCAGTGTCAGAGATTTAAAAATTAAAAAATCTATCTATCCATCCATCCATCTATGTATGTATGTATGTATGTATGTATGTATGTATCTATCTATCTATCTATCTATCTATCTATCTATCTATCTATCTAT